CAGAGAGAGAGAGAGAGAGAGAGAGAGAGAGAGGGAGAGATAGAGAGAGCGAGAGAGAGAGAGAGAGTACGACGGTTGTGAGTAAGTGTTTTTACAGTCCTGTACAGCCAAGAAAATTTTCCTCTGGGATTTAAGTGTTATCTTATCTTATCTTATCTTATCATACTCATAATAACATCACCACCATTCTTGTCATTATAATAATCCAGTAAACAAAAAAAAAGATTAATTTCACTAAAGAAGGATAAAGTTTGTCTTTGACGTTATTATTAAGATAGTTCCTCATCATAATCCCTTAAACCCTTTCATGTTGTCATTGTAAGTAGATTACTTGGAAGAGACTTTATAACCCTCTCCAGTTAGGATAATTTCTGAAACCCCTGGTAGACTTTAGGCATTGGTTGTTGTTGTTGTTATTATTGTTGTTGATGATGAGGATGTTGTTTTGTTGTTATTGTTGTTGTTGTTGTTTAGTTTTATTTTTCAACATACTTTTCGAGCAGCTGTAATACACCCCGCTTCGGAAACCTTTTACAATGTGCAGTATTTACAAAGGTAATGTGCACATTGTGCATCGTGACATGTAGTTTTTTAAACCTCAATTCATTGAGAATTATAAAACCCGCCCAACGTCCAATTGCTTTCAATGATATTTGGTCGGCAAACCGTGATAGGCTACTACATTTTCGACTCGGATAAAATGTGCACATCCTCGTTAATCCACCTACTTGGTTTTCTCATAGAGCAGCTTCACAAGGAGAGTGGCCGCAAACCCTTTGGATACTGAGGCGATGCCGAACACGGTGTTATCAGTGACCGGCTCCTGTGTATCCTTTTCTTCCACGCCATAACCCCCGGAGAAGAGGACCTGGGAGGAGAAAAGGGACGGCCTTCAGGCATTGCTAGCTAGGCTAGGCTAGTAACCTTGCTCGCTGAAAAACATCCAGTTTAGGTTGTGAGGATAGTGACCTTTCGTATCACTATCACTGATCCCCGAGAAAGAAAACAGTGAGAGCGACGAAACAGATGTGTGTATGCCACGATCAGATAGAGTCGTCTCATCTGCATATTATTTAGAGAGAGCTGGTGGAAATAGTTATTCACCCAATTGTGTAGCCAGCTTGCCACAGCCCACACAGCTAGTATGTTACACCCCCCCTCCCCCTCCTTATCTTTCCCTGATAGCATTGGTATCACTGTAGGTGATGTGATCAGAAGAACACTCACTTGAATGAGAGAGAGAGAGAGAGAGAGAGAGAGAGAGAGAGAGAGAGAGAGAGAGAGAGAGAGAGAGAGAGAGAGAGAGAGAGAGCGTTTGCCTTGGCTCTGTGTATTATTATATTTCTATTCTTACCAGGAGACCGGCCGTTTTTGTGTTTCGAGTACTTTCGTGCTGTTACCGTTAAAACGGTTAGGCCTACAAACAAATGCCTACCAACAAACAGAAGCTCGAAGAATGAACCCGAGAGTGGTGTGACATACGTGTTGATCTCACTGTAAAGTTGTAATAAACAGCTACAACTCAAGCCCAGTGTTCTTTCAATAAATGCCCCACCTTCGTAATAACATGTTTTTGTGTCGCAGTTATTCAACATAATTACAGAGAGGAAGTTATTGCTTGTTCGTGGGTACGAACAAAAAGAAATAGAGGTAGAGCAAGACCAGGCTGGGGATGGGGATGGTTTAAGGAGGGGGGAGGGGGTTACAAGAAGTTTCCACGAAGAGAAGACGGAGGGAAAGTGTATGCACAAAATAGAACTGAGGAAGAAAAATAAAGTGCCATCTTCTAAAGATCACGGATTTTTTTTTCTTCTTTCCCGGTAAGCGATCTCTGCAAACACATGATGTACTAATTCTGTTCAAGTCACGAAACCGCATAATAATGCATTATTAGTTGAAGTAAACTCTATGGTTGAAGGGCGTGTGAATGAGAAGTAGAGCGGGGCCGAGAAAACACGAACTAGCCAACGCCAGTTACCTTGCAACTGCAACAGATGGAACCTGAAGCTATAGATTCTAGACCTTGTGCGGACTGAACCAGAGAGTTTACAGTAATATTACTGTAAACCCTCTCTGACTGAACGAATGTTGCTGAGCTTTTTTCTTTTTTTAAGGCAGCAGGATATTGTGCTTTGAATGTACGAAATGAAATAAAAATGCACAGCAAGTTATGGAATAATAAATTAACTGGGAAAGACAGACAGACAGACAGACGGATAGTGATAGGCCTTCTCCTCCTTCTCCTTCTTCTTCTTCTTCTTCTTCTTCTTCTTCTTCTTCTTCTTCTTCTTCTTCT